AACAAACCTACAGTCCCTATCTTGTACGTAACCCGGGGACTGCCTGTATATCGACCATACAGACTGAGAGAACTGGTAAAACATAGCACAGCAAACCTCTTGCCATTATGAAAAGGTGATAACAGGAGTTCTTTGCATCAGCAGACATAGGGGAAGGGTGCGAAGACTTTGTGCTTTTCTGCACTAAACCCAAAGTTGATTTTAACAAACTTGTTGCAGATATTTTAAGTATCAAAGGCATAGGTGGTCTTCTTACACCCCAGAATTTTGGTTTTGGAAACAATATTTTATTGAAAACAACAAACAGGTCCTTCTGACAAACAACTTAATGATGAAAATGTTATTTTAAGGGTCATTCATACTCCTACACATATTCCAAGATAACTGAATTATTAAAGTGAAATCTAGAGCAGGTAGGCCATGCAGCTGAAATAAACAGGTAGGGTAAATCAAACGATTGAGTGTGGCTATGAGAAGCAGTGAGGCAAAACAGCCATGGACTGGTCTACATACCAACTGGAACTAAAATAACTTATTGAAATTCACGTCTCTGTTACCTCAAAACAAATCTGCATACAGACTCTTTATTTTGGACTACAGGTTGACCTTCTTTAGTCTGGGCCAGGAGGGGTCCCAGCAGGAAGTTGGGACCCCCCCGTAGACAGGGGCTGCTACCAGCTGGACAGGCAGCGCCACTCAGTCCAGGTGCTGCAGCTCTACAATTTAAAATGCAGTAGGAACTGGGGGGAGGAAGCTGCCCAGCTCCAACTGCCTTTTAAACTGAAGAGCCGCAGCGGGGTTTGGTCCCAGCGCGAGCCAGGACTGAGAGGGGCTGCCTTCCCATATTGAGTAATCGATACAAATTTTATCCACTACTCAACTACTAAAATAACCTCAATTTAACATCCCTAAACAGGACACTAGCAATCCCAAAGAAGTGAGATTTGCACTAAAATAATGGGGACAGTTTTAATTACAACCAATGTAGTTATTTTAGTTCCAGCCTGTGTATTGACTAGAGATGTTAAACATTCATCGATTACAGGTTTATAAAAATAAATGTGTAATTGCTGAATTTTTTAGCTGTTACTAGTATACATGTGGGGGCAGGCAGGCGTCGCTTTTTAAACCGGCTCCCACATGCTCCCCCTTGCTCCTCACCCCACCCCCACTGCCTCTGTTAGAGGGGCAGCAGCATGGGTGACCGGTGGCTCCCTGGGAGACAGTACACACAGGCAGCTGACTTGAAAGAAGGCTTCCCGCATATACCAGTTCCCATGTGCCACCTCCCACTCCCAGCACTGCTGCCTCTCTATCATCGTTCCCAAGAGGATGGAGAAAGGCTGTTTCACAGTAGGGACGGAGCAATAGTCTCAAGTTACAGTGGGGGAGGTCTAGGTTGGATATTAGGAAGAAATTATTTCACTAGGAGGGCAGTGAAGTACTGGGATGGGTTACCTAGGGAGGTGGTGGAATCTCGATCCCTAGAGGTTTTTAAGTCTCGGCTTGACAAAACCCTGGCAGGGTTGATTTAGTTGGGACTGGTCCTGCCTTGGGCAGGGAGTTGGACTTGACGACCTCCTGAGATCTCTTCCAGCTCTATGATTCTATGAGAGGCAGGCAGGTCTGAGGGAGCTGGTGCTTATGCGGAGCCAGCTTTTAAGCCAGGTCCCACGAAGCACTGCCTCCCACCTTCCTCTCTGCGCTGCTGCCTCTCTGGGCAGCGGGGGTAGGCGGTTCTGCAGGAGCCAGCTCCTTACGGGAAGTGGCTCTCGCCCTCCCCCCTGCCCCCACTGTCTCTGATACAGAGGCACCACTGGGGGACTGCAGGTAACTGTTAGGATTAATCGATGAGCCCAGCCTTATTGGTTAATCATGTAAACGAGTACACACTAACATCCTTAGTATTGACAGGACCTAAATAAAAGGTGAGCTAAACTGAAAATAGTCTACTTGACAACTGTCTGTAAACTAAACCACATGATGAACCATTTGGGGCATCCAGGCCTATAATATTCCTGGCCAAGATGACAACCAATTAGTGCTTATTTTAATAAGATTAATTTCAAACCTTATCTTCGTCTTAATAGAAAATATACCACACCCTTTCCCATACTGAAATTCCCACAGTACGTGAGCACTGCAGTTTTCTGGCAACCCCTTCTCATGGGTGTCAGAAAACAAGGCAAGGGACCAGCAAATACACAGAGTATCATCACTTTTAATGGTTACACTGCAAGCACCCTGAACTGCCAGGGTAGCATCTTAGAGGGGGTTGGGTGATCCAAATCAAAGTAGCTCACACAACAGGATATGTTAATACGAGAGTGCAATAGCAGAACCCAATGGAATACATTACAGTATTATCCCAGGATATCAGGTCCATTGTACTTCCTTACGGGAATCAGAAACTCAGTATCTAAACCAGGGATGGGCAAATACCAGCCCACCGGCTGGATCCAGTCTGTCAGAGTCAGCACCTGGCCAGCTCCCACACATTTACCTGCACAGATATGGAGGAGCACCGCATCTGTTGGCCGCCGATCACCGTTCCCAAATAATGGGAATCATGACCCCCCCCCCCCATACCTGTGAAAGTGAGGTAAATACAGTGTCAGCGGCTCAAAGGGGGCTAATGCTGCGGAAATGCTGCTATTTTATTGTCCACACCTGATCTAAACCAAAGCCTGCCAACAGTTTCTCAAGTTCTATAATGCACCCGAGTCCTTTTTCTCAATCATGTCCCACCAAATCTTCACAAATTTTCCCCTTTCAAATCACTTCTTAGAAGCCCACTGGATCTACACTGTTTATCCCAACTATAGCTTACTGTCCATTTACTCTACTTATTTGTGCCATTACCATGAAATCTTGCAAAAAGATTGGCGAGCATTAAGTAGGCTTTATAAACTATAACGCGACACATCCATAAAGCTCTCTAAATAGACCACACTAATTGCATATGTACAGGATTCTGATATGTGGACATAAGTCTCTCAAAAACCCTAAAGGCAGAATAACGGTTTCTTGCATTTAGTAAGACTTTTAGGCAGAGCACATGTACGATTCTACAGAAGAATCTCTAAGTCACAGGATCTGACGCCCCATTGTCACCCACACAATGTTATGAGTTAGCAACAGAACTGCGCCCTAACAGGCATGCTAAGGGTTCTAGTAGTTACCGCCTTTCGGCAACAACACATGGTTCGAACAAAATACAGGACAATGCAGCACTTTAAAGACTAACAAGATGGTTTATTAGGTGATGAGCTTTCGTGGGCCAGACCCACTATTTGCTCTGAGGAAGTGGGTCTGGCCCACGAAAGCTCCTCACCTAATAAACCATCTTGTGAGTCTTTGAAGTGCTGCCCAGTCCTGCCTTGTGTCTCAGCTGCACCAGACTAACCCGGCTGCATCTCGATCGCTATTCGGCACGAGGCTCGCTGCGCTACGTCTCGCAGCTCTGTCGGTCGGCAGCGAGCGGCTGTTTGTGGCTCGGTCTCAGCGGGCGGCCACGTGCCATCCCCGCTCACGGGCCGCCGGCGCGAGGAGGCGGAAGCGGCGGTTGGTGCCA